AGTCGTGTGTCATTGATGCTGGCTGTATTTTTAGGTTGTACACGCACGTGCGAAAGCGATTGCGAATTCTCGCGCGAGTAGTGACCGAGTGAAAGTTTTTATACTTTGAACCCGCGATCACGGATGACGATTATATTGGCTCTATCGATCGAGATCCAGATATCAATTGCTCGATAGAATGCCGAGTGATAGCGTCTAGGATAGACAGAACGATGAGCGTAACATTTTCAGGAGATTGCTTGAACAATCATACGCGCGTTCGAGTGCGACTTTGCGACAGTTGAACGTAAGAATTTAGCGCTGTACGACGCTATGGAAAATAGCTAATTTTAGATGAAGATCCGTATCAGCGAATCACTGATAACGAAACCCAAAGCCAAAAGCACGAGAAATATAGTCTTCTACGCCGCGCAAACTTAATCCGGAAATCCCCGAATTGAGCAGGCAAAAAAAATGTCATTCCTTCGCGAGACGACCTTGTGAGTGTCGATCGCATGACGACCAACGACGATAGTCGAGGACACTCGCCTCCATAAAGCCTGCGTTGCTTATACATATGTAAAATTGTTGTGACGCTCAACGTCGTTATCACGCGATACATTTCGTCAAAATGATGTGCTTAGAAAATGTATTTCTGACAAGCATTATCAATCCAACTAATCGACATCAATCAATTTTAAGCGACAAACTTTTCTCTTTTGATTCTATACAAATTGCAATTACTTATTGTAAGAAAGCAAAAGTGACGACGACAACAACAGAACTGTCATTTAATTTATTGAATTTATCTGCGTGAAAACGTAAAGCAAAATAACGCAAATCATGTAACAGTGGTAACAATCGTGCAATAGTATATCGCCGTACTGATTTCTCAATCAACTTAATATATCGATCAATTCCAAGTTGAAGAATAAAGTCGCGTGAACAGTAGCAACGAGAAAAAATACACATTCACGTTTACATAAATATCTGAGGACAATTGACCCGTGAATATTAACCAGACCAGCGAACAGGTGAAAAAGTAAGAGACACACGCACCAAGGCTATTTATAAACTCACACATATGTTTGCGCGCGCTCGAGGATGAGACAGAATAAAAAAAAAGGAGAGAAAGAAAAGGGAGCAGTAAGTTCGTTTCCATGACGCACGTGACGCTGGCTTGCGTCACCTCATCAACGGACTTGCCGAATGGAAAATCTTTCGCACCAGACACCGTATACATGATGATGTGATGCGTTACACTTGCAAACCCGATGAAGTTGTATTAGAAGAAAATATTGGTTTTCTCTCTTGGCGTGAGATAGAAGCGATTGGTTTGAGTGAGAGTAGAAAAAATGTTTGTGCAAAAGCATGAAATATTAAATTTCTTTTTTTCACATTTTATTATTGATTGGCATTGTTAAATAAAGTTCAATCAAACATTTGAACTTCTCAAACTTTTATCACGCTTACGATTATCGCTGATCATCGCATAATTTCAACACAATTACAATTTGAAGAAACAATTATCAATAATTATCTAATCATCCAATTATAATGAATGCGAAATTATTTAAGTAAACACACTGTTTACACGTCGGCCGATAGCAACAAAAAGATAAAGTTGCGGTTAACGAATGGAAACTTTAGCGAAAAAAATAAAAACCGCAAGTTCAAGTTCACGATAAATGCATTAATTAGCGTGAACTGGTTTCTTCTCGAGTTTCGCGGATAAAGGAAATTGAACTTTTTGCGATGAATTGCGTCCTTTCAAAGCATATATCGAAAAATCTCGCGCTTTATATTCAATTCTCTCAAGGAGTCACCTGACTTCGCGAGAGTAAACTCGTGACAATTTCTCGTACTGAAATATCACACGTTACTTTATGTCTGACACAAGTACAGGCAAGTGAATAATTTCTAACTGTACGCACGATGAATAATGCGCACCTTCCTTGACAGCTGAAATTTGATTATGAATGTCCTTAGTAAGAGGCACGTGATACAAATTTTGCATGTTACTTGGTAACGGATAGTAAACTTAAATTTATTTCCAATAATATGTTACATTTACTCCACACATGCACATGTGAAAGCAATTAGCGAACAGGAAAAATGTATCGTCATAGATTGAACGATCGTTACGCGTCGATCAAGTATTTACAGTAAGACTACGAATCCTTCAAAATGCATTTCATCGCTATATAAAGTATGAAGTGCATATAAAAAAGGAAAGTAATCACGTGCGTACTTTTTAACACTCCCTTATTTTATCAATCACACGCTCGCAAAAACCGATCACGTGTTTTCGACGTTAAAACAGAAAAGATTATAATCGTTCCTCCGAAAAAAAACTTATCTGAAAAAGCATCGATATTATTGTCAATTATGAATACGTCGTCTGGAAGAGAATCCTTTCATCCCTCACACGCATAAATATGTGCATACCAATGTGCTCGCACAACAGACTAAATTAGGCTCGCTGCAAGAAGGTCATTGACATCGAATTCTTCTGTGACATGTACGTAAGTATGCAAACGAGAAAAATGCCATAAATGTCTGTAGCATTATATTACCTTTTATTGGACACGAGACATTTTTGATTTTTAATTACTTTTTGTTTGTGTCCTGCAGTCACTAACGATTATCACTGCGTTAATGTATTTTATAAAGTCATGAATTAATTATGTAAAATTTAACTTTTTATTAGTTAGTAGAAAACTTAAAGTTTTAGTAGTTGACGAATGGATTTCAGTTAATTTTGATGGATGTTATCGACCGTACGTAAGCTGCTTAATACTCACAATACAGTTCCCGAATAAATATGATCAAGCAAAAATCTCGCAAGATAAGTTCTGTTTCTCAACTTCAGATAAAATATTTATTATGAAAATCAATGTAACAATTACACAAAATAGTCTTTTGGATGCAAAAAAGCATAGAGGAAATCTCTCCTACCATCACGCAAACGGAATTACTCGTTCTTTGTTTATCTCAATCACGAGCACAAAATAGAAGTTTAAAGTGGAAACATTTTTTTATTTATGCCAAACTAGCAGAGCTCACGCGATATAGGTATACACGTAGAATAGGCAGTCAGCCGATTCTTTTTTCGTCGACGAGGACGACGTTCGAGATGCGTTATCGCGACGAAGGCTGATTGTTTATGATAAAAAGGTTCGTGCGATGATGACGTTTTTTTTACTTTCGTACAGGTACAATTGGAGACTAATTTTCGTCCTGGTTTTGATTTGACTAGCCATATAGATTTTTTTTTCATTTGCGAATAGATAAGCTTCAATGGCAGTACTTTCTTTATAAATTTCAATGACAATTCAAAATTAAGTCAAATTGATTATTCATGAATTAATTTCTCATATTTCGACGACAATTATTACTAATTTGTACGTTATATTTTTTAAATTATGCAAAGTGCTCTAAATCGTCGAACCAGTCCTTTTCCGTATAAACTTTTCCTACACTGATATCATGTTCAAATTCCTAAGTGACTTTTAAAGCCTTGAATGTATTGACATTTCTTTCAAATCGACTTGAGAACGTTATCGCGAAGAATAATTCGCGTAACGAATGAAGTGTCAACCCACGAAGTCAACATATATATACATATTCTTCGAAGTGCAAAATTTCGTACGTTCATGCAAATGGACAAATCAAATCCATGACAAATTGCACCGAACGCCCTCGAACCTACACGTCAACGCGTATATCTTATCATTCTTTTTTCGACCATGGCTTGTATCTTTCTTGGCGCTATTTTGACTTGCCGTTCTGAATTCCTTATGACTTGAGCATCCGGTGTTATTACTGTTCAGAAACAAGTTTTTCTTTTCTCTTCGTTGGGTCACCTGGTGAATTACAATTATACGATGGGATTTTCATTTAGTGCGGTATCGAACAATATAATAGACTGTCGAAAGATTTATGCTCATGTTTCTGAGCTAATGGAAAAGGAAAAGATAAGCAACAGGAACATACTGAAATGTTTTCGATTAGTGACAACCGTGATTGTCGAAGAAAAGAAGAGGCCTCCCGATAATAAAAAAAAAAAGAGTAAAACAAGCATGTATGTAAAAACAAGAGTGAAACCGAGATACAGAAATGTTATTTAGCCAAAAGCACCTGAGTACTCACGATAACGATGTTTAGTAGTTTTCCACCGATCAACCAAAATTTTGGGTTTTTTTTCCCCTAAAACTCACACGTAATCTATATATTTAAAAGTTAAATTAAACGTCAAATCTATTGTCATCTTGTCAAGCAAATAGTTGCAAAATTTCAACAGAAAGAGTTTCGTCACTAATTACTTCCTCAATTCTATATCGAAACTCAAACACACTTGAACAAAAAATCGATAACCATGAGCTAACTGATGACTAATGTACGTCGACGCTTCAGTGAGGTTCTTTCTTTCGTTTTTTTTTCGGTATTGACCTACTAACGATGACTTAAATATATGCATACATACTGGCAAATATCGAGTGAAAGCTTGAAAAAAAGTTTCGCTGATCTTTGCATGTTTCCCTTGCGCAACAACGACGCGACGGCGGAAGAAACGTTTCCGCGTGTGAAAGCGGTGACACCCATGAGGGACCCAATCACGCGATGCAAGTCACGAGACGCTATACTGTCCCACTCTTTTCTGTTTTATTTCAGAAGATTGTTTTTGCTCTCTGAGTCATGTTTACCTCGTATACAATTGTTTTCCTTTTGAATTCAATTATAGTATCGCGCGATTAGACTCTCACTGTAATGTAAATTAGTATTATCTGGAAATTTCATTGTGCCATTTGATGGTCTCCATTTGTCTCTTATCTCGACAGACGTTTGATTCTTAGAGGTTTAATGAGAAGGCAAATTAGAATAATCTATTATTAGCCATACGCACATTCAATAAAATGTGCATAAAAGTATAATAAATCATATGCAAACTATGTAGAAGCATCGCCATGAATGGACTTGTAAATGCATGAGACAATCCACGTGTGTGCGCTGTAACTCACCTTTCGTATTTCACCTGCATCGAGTGAGCGGAGTTGTCCTCCCAGTAGTTCTGCGTCTCCATCATGTTGCCGCATAGAACCTCTCCCTTTTTACCGTTATTGTTGTTTTTATTTTGCGTAACGATTCTCACGCACTACATATGCACCACTTTATCACTGTACGAAGAACGCACTTGTTCTGTTTTTCTTTATTATTACACAAATGTCACTCACGTTGCTGCTGTTGCGATAGTGCACACTCTGCTTACGCCGAAAGCGCAAGACCTGAAACACAAGCGAAAAGAAATAGGCAATTAATCACGCGCAAAAATCAAAAGCAGTAAAATTCCACAGCCACGCATCCAAATAACACGCGATTCGGCCATTTACCAATTATATCAGCAGCTGTCGTGGCAGAGTACACTTGAACTTGGCTCGCCCCAAACAAGCGAGAAAAAAGCGAAGCTAACTAACAGTAGAGAGAAAGAGAAAGAGACAGAGAGAGAGAGAGAGAGAGAGACAGAAAGAGAGTGAGAGGAGAGGCGTGGGTAGAGCACGTCGGTCGCCGACTCCGTACTGACAACGAAGACAGAAGAGGAGTAGCGACTGCGGCGCGGCGCCCCGTGACACGTAGTCGCTCTCCTTTTCTCTCTCTCTCTCTCTCTCTCTCTCTCTCTCTCTCTCTCTCTCTCTCTCTCTTTCTGTCTTCTTTCGCGCTACACACGCGAGAACGTTGCGACATACACGCACATACGCGTATAATAAAAGTGTGCGAAGTGGGTGGTGCTGCCTGCCTTACGATTAGATCGGATTTTTCGTTTTGGACTATTGTTCCCGTGCGATTGGTTCGCGTGCGTGAATTTTTTTTCCAAGGCAAACAAATGCTTATAAATGAAGCTACGTGTAGCTGCCTTGCGGTTATCGTGAACGAAGCTAGGCAAAACGATTTCAAAAATAGAAGTGCATTTTTTTTTTGCAAACGGAAATTGAAACAGTATACGCACGGAATGATTAACGTGTTTATTACTCACGTGTGTCTAAAAATAGACTGCATTGGTTTTTCCCCCCCTACTCACCAGTATCGAATTAAAATAAAAATAATCACTCTCGCTTGATTAAATTCGAAATCAAAGTGAGAGAAAGCGTACTCGTCCCGTACGCGTATTACGCAACGTTATTTTTCCGGATTTACAAGAGTGAGAGCTGTCGAATAACAGAAATCTCGTCGCAGCGCTGAATTTCGCAAGTAATAAAAGCACACGCGTCCCTGACCTATATCCAAATTTACAATTCTTCATTCTTTATGTACATCAAACCAGCGTCTGGAGATTTTATGTAGGTCAACGTATAGAAAAAGAAACACACGCGCGCCTACTCGAGCACTGCAATAAAATCACACCCCAAAAATAACAGCACATAATGTCAATGTGAATGAATGAAGCTTACTATATAGTATGCGAATGTGTGAGAGAGAGACACGCGCACGTCACATTAGCCGGGCAGGTTGTAGATAGATGACTTCGAGCCTTCGCCGTCCCGATCGCCCGTCGTTCTCTCTCTCTCTCTCTCTCTCTCTCTCTCTCTCTCTTGCTCTCCCGGTATATGGCATGCGGATCCCCCTCTCCAATATTATTACCAACCAGCATTCTATATACTCCCTAACGCACCGGACGACCAGGTGCGGGTCGTATAAAAGTGGTACCCGTATGTATACTAATTGTATTGACGTGAGAATCGATACAACAAATATTTTTTTAATAATTTTGTAAGTAATAAAAATTTCGAAATCTTTTAAATTCATTTTTTTAAATCTTTCATTGTTTTAAAATTTTTAAAACATCTAAAAAGTATGAAAGCATAGCAAATTAACTTTTTCATCTTGACAATCATAGCTCCTAGACTTTTCCAATACTAAAGACTACCTTATTAAAAATATATAAATATACATATATCATCAAAAATTGATACAAGCAAATAATAATATTCTAGTGGAAAATGATATTCTTAACGAGGAAGAGTTACTACAAGATTCATATTAGTAGTAGTTATAAATTCAATTATAAGTTTTAATTTATAATTTTATTTGTTCTGCCAGCTTGCGTACAAGTACCGGCGTGTACCTCTGCAAGTAGTTGTTGACTAGTAAGAGTTGTAAGCTATTAATGACAAATAAACGTACATAGTTTTGTAGTTGTCATAGCCAGCTACGGTTGTTACTCCCACGCAGAAGTTGTAGCGACATAAATCTCGAAAAATTTTTTATTAAAAGAACACGCTCTGCTAAGGTATATAACAATAACACGCTTTGACGTCGTAGATGGCTAAGCTGTCAGATATAATAATCCAGGGAAGAGTGATTATCAGCATCATCATCTATTGGAAAGTTCGAGACGAAACTTCTCTGATATAAAACGCGTCTCTTGTTGTTAAGTCACGCGACGGTAGACGTCTTTTTTACAAGTAATGGCGTCTTTCTTATCTCTCTCTCTCTCTCTCTCTCTCTCTCTCTCTCTCTCTCTCGTTTGTACGCGTGAGATAACACACGAAACAAGCGCAATACTGCTTCACTTTGAAATCTGTCTTTGGAAAAGTCGGAGAAAATGACATCGCGCGATAACGCACTCACCAATGTGCGTTTAAGTTATTCCATCAAATGCATATCAACGTAAATAGCTTTATTTATTAATTGTTTAATTAACCAGACTTATCAGACGCAGTGAGATAGACACCCGTTCGCAGAACAGAAAACTGGCGAATACTCGAACGAGGTAAAAGATAAGCTCATTCGAGAAAACGTGCGGCAAAGCGCAAGGGGCTTTAATGCGCTGCGTGCACGAGGGAGGACCTCGCAAGCAAGATCGGCAATTGGTTTTTTTTTCTCTTTCGCCCGGAGTGGATTAACTTGTTCACGCGTCTGCGCCATTGCTAGTAAATAACCGTGCGAAAGAAATTGAATTTAAAACGAGATCGCAAGAAGAACTTAATTTTATTCTGTTTCGATGAAAATAAATCTCTTTCACAAGGGAACTCGCGACGGAGGAATCCGATTCGCGCACTAAAAAAAAATACGACACTCACGCGCGCGTGCGAGGTACTATAGAGACGAAAGAAACACGAGTTGCGTCCAATTTCAAGTAGTAATAGACAGCTCAGACAGACGAGCTAGTAGTAAAGGTCAATGTCAGCGGGCGTGATTTTCGGGCGTCCGCGACATGAAACGAGGGGGCGAATCGGATTCGTGTCGACGATAGCGTTGATGTTTATCCGTCAGAGCAACACCATTAAGTGTGTGCCATATCATCGAATAAAGCCAAAAGAAGAAATGGCGAGAGTCACGAAAGATTTCGATCGCGATAAGAGAATCCGGAATATCGCTGTCGCTCCCAGGCTAAAGGCACCAGGAATCGCACGGTCCGTACCTGCGGCGTATCCGGCCCCCCTTTTACAAAACCTCCTCTCCTATAAATACAGCCTTGCTTGTGCCGCGCTGCTGTGCTGCTATGCCGTGCTGCTACAACCACGCTGCGCGACACGTGCGCCTGACGTCAGTGCAGTGGCGGTCACGCGAGCACCGTGTGCTTAACCGAGTCACGTGTCCGGTCACGCACGCGCGCTCTCTCTCTCTCTCTCTCTCTCTCTCTCTCTCTCTCTCTCTCTCTCTCTTTCTTAGCTGCACTTCACTTTTCAACCCACCGCGGGGAATTTTCCCGCGCATGCACAAGTACACGCGTCGTCTTTGGATTGTATACCGCGCTGGCTGTAGGTATGGCATACGGGCTTACATTTGCTGCGTCGATAAGCGACAAAAAGGGACATGAGGTAAATTGCAGCTAATTCGATGACAATGGAAAAGTTAAGTTTGATGCAGGATTGATGGATTATAAAGTTTCATATTAAATAAAAATTAAATTTCGGAAAAAGTGACACTTGAAAATTATCCAATCGTTTTGACACACATCGGTATACCTGTATTTCGTAATCTCTTCGCGCAAGTGTGCCTCTTTTGTAATTTCGTTTCTTTGCATTCGCAAGTTTTCATTGCGAAAAGTTCTTGAATTGTGCATTGTGTTTTCGTAAAATCAATATAATACTTAAGATATATTTCTCTTGCATTCAATTGACAAAGAACAGCGAGAAAAAATACGTTTTGGAAAAATACGCATCGCTAAATAGTCCACGCTGAGACACACGTATTGTCACCTGAAAATTTTATCAAAAATCGACGCGTTCTATTTATTCACATGCAAGCGAATGCTAATGTTTATTCAATGTGCCAAAACAAAAGTTTCGACTAATGCAGAGGGGGCGGTGATTTTGTCGCGTGCAGAAAAGCGAGAGATTAAACTTTGCACGCTCATAAATCAATCAATCACGTGTATTAATAATAGTCACACGCCTGTTGATTAAGAAAAGCCGTATGATTCTGATACAGCGATAAATCAATTTTTATTTTTTCCAGAGAGACAAAACATTTATGCTCGAGCTGTATAGTATTAAGTTCTATTTTCACAACGCCACGACCAGACGATTATGTTTTCGATCTCAAAAGTGATAATAAATTACTTGCCGCTGTCAAGTTTAAATTCGTAGAGATATTTTTTGGAAAGCGAGTCGTTTATCGGTTAATATTTTTGACGTCAATAATAATGATACGGCATGACTTAATTTTTTTTTTAATTTTAAGATTCAGCCAGTTGATACGGTTAAACTTGTACATTAGTAAATAATTCTAATCTGTATGTCATTTGAGAATGGAACTTAATTTGATAAAAATAAACCATTTTTCACTAATTATTTATATAACGCAGATACTAGCATTTAATATTGCCATTTCGTCTTATAAATTGATAAATAATTATAAAAAATTATTACAAACAAAAACCGATGTCCATCACAGAATGGTATTAATGTCTTGGAGTGAATAAATAGAAATGACACGTTGTATTGTCTTACAAAATACTAATCACAAACGCAAGATGAACTATTTGGAAAATAAAATCTATTTTCAATCCAAACACGAGAACCAATGTCACATGCAATAAAATAAAATAAAAATTCTCCATTAGCACCTCTCGCAAAGGGCTTGTCTGCCTGTCGAGACTTGCGGCTATTACGTCATCCTCGCGTAATAGCGTGCGCTGATGAAAGATGAGGATCATTGAGCAGAAGCTCGGCAAGATGACAATCGTTGCGCAACCAACGTAAAATGAAAAGGCGCGGCGCAACGTGGACTCGGGCGCCAACCTAATTCCACTTCCGATTCGCGCGTTTTTCAAAGACGAGTCATCACTATTGCGTATGGCGCGGGTTCGTTCGTTTTTTGTTTTTTTATGTTACGTAAAATTGTGTTGGTGTTGGAAATTTTTGTACGAAATTGCCGATGATTACAGCCGATTACACCGCCGTTATTGCCATAAATTATTGAAACTTAAATTTTTTTTTCACTAAGAAAGTGCGTCTGATAATTCAAATGCAAATGATTCAACAAGTGATTCTTCCGTAACTGGAACGCGACGCGCATTTATTTTTACCCTTTACTGTCTCAATGGAGCGCGCCTTGGCAGTGGGTCATCTATTTTGGCGCGAGCGCACACGAGCAGCAATCACATTCGGATCTCTATCGCTCGATTGACGAACATCTATATCTGTTTCCGGTACTGACATACACGTGGGCCGGCGTACAGATTCCTTTATTAATACGCTAAGCTGACTATTTATAAATGAAAAACTTACGGTGTAGCTTTAGTGTTTCTAATTGCGTAGTAGCTTGATATTTGTCATCTTGTTTTTGATTCAAACTACATTAGCTTCAATTCAAGAAGGTTATCATTTTTATTTACGTCCACTACAGTTAATGAGTTTTGTTAATAATTTAATAAATTATGAATTTTTAAATTTGGCTTGATGCGTACTAAAACTATTTTACTGAATCA